TCAATTTCCATTTAGCATTGTAGAGTCACTTCAGTTTTAATACATAAATTATGACAGTTAATATTACACATCTGAAAGTATGAATGGTGTGTTAATTAAGCCAGACCCAGACACATCAGTGAATTACTACAGAAAATCTCGGTTTTAGTCTGTTTGGCTTTATCCGAGTATAACATCCTGATTCTTGACTCACATCCTGGACAGACCCCTCACCATTGCAGGTGTTGCTACGTTTTCTTTTGCTGTGGGAGTTTCTGGTTTCAGGAAACAAGGTCCTGTGCTTAACATTAGAACTGGGATAATACATTCCTGGAAAGAAGGTGCCTGAGCAATACCAGGGGGTCAATGTGCTCTCTCAAATAGAAAGTGGTATGACTCTTTACATCGACACTTTCTGTATTCCTCTTACTATATGACGATTTTTTTTTCTTATTTTTTTAGGCAAAGTTATACATCATATAGAGATTAGCATGTGGATTTATATTTAACCTTGACTTCATTTATTATCCATCCGTGCAAATATGTTGTTTGGATTTGATTCTATCTATGGTTTCTATCTACTCGTGAATTTGCTCCGCATGGCTGTTACGGTACTTTCCCAGATGCTGAGCTGCATGCTGAAATCATGTGCTGTTGCTCATTGTAATGTTTTTGTTGATCTTTCAGTGGCTTGATTCTTGGTTTTCTGGCCTTTCCCATTTCTGCACAACATGGATAACTTCGACAGGGCCAAACCAAACTTGGCCGCTGTTTTGCACAGCAGTGTCAGTCTCAAATTCACTCCAGGTGAAATCTGACATTACAGCTCACCTGATGTCCGTCTAGCGACTTAAATGTGAACAATGTATTGTTTGCTGATTTTACTACTGTTGCTTAGGGTGTTTTGCTTCCACCACAGACATTGGTACTCATATAGTGTTATATTCCACAACTCTTGGAGGAAAAAGTTAGAAGAAATATTGTACTAGAACAGTAGCTTGGAGACCTGTCAAACTGGTACCCATGCAGGTTTTTTTAAAGGAGCTTACTTTCCCTATAACTGACTACAGTGATGATTTTACAAATTGCATTTTTCTCTACATACTCAGATTCAGTCTTACTTGTGAAGGTAAAATTGCATTATAGCAACGCAGAAATCACAATGTTACTTAGAGGACCTTTTGAAAAAAAAACTGACTTTTTCTTCAAATTTAATAAAGATTCATACACATGTGCACAGGCATATCTTAGATTTCTTTGCAGTACTTCTATGCGGTGCTTATGCAAGCCTTCATTTTCTCCAAGTACTCATTTTGTGTCTTACTTGTGATGGTAAATGTGCACTACAGCAACACAGCTATCAACATGTTATTTAGAGTACAGTGTATGTCATTCCACCCAAACTCTGTAAGTCCATCTGTAGTTAGTTCATCTACAAAAAGTCAATTCAATTTGATGCTATGTGGTGGATGGATGCAAATTAAAATACTGAAATACAATCACACTGCCACTGTATTCAAACTCGATTAATTTGGCTCAGATGAGAAAAAAATCTGAAACTGATTTTTGTGGCTAAACATGTAGAAGAAATATATAGAGAGAGCTGTGCTTGATTTACTGCAATCTGTAGACATAAGCAGACATTTTGTACTCACAGAAGTAAAAAAAAAAAAAAAGCATAAAATGGACAAACAACAGCTACTGTTACCCAGGTGGTCTGGGTGATAACTCTAATCAAGTTTGTCAAAGCTACAGTATGAAGTGTGTTGTGCACTCTTCCCTCAAGACATGGGTTCTTGCTTACCTTAAACCAAAGATTTAAAGTGGACAATCCTGAGTGATAGCCGTTCCTATTCACCTTTATCTGCATCAATTAACGATGTAGGAACATGGTGTTTCCAGCCTTTTTCACAACTTGTCCAAAACAGCAGTCCGTGAGGAAACTCTCGTTCCAGGTGACATGACACATTTTAAGAAAGGTATAAAGAAAAATTTAAAGTTTAAAATCAATTTTCAGCCCAGGAAACAATAGAGACTCCTCTTGATTTATTTCTATTTCAGTGTTAATAGGAAATACACTAACCTGGCCACCAAAATCTGGAGAGATTTACAGTTTTTGATGATTCAGCAAAAATGGTGCAAAAAGTCTTTCATTTTTTTCCATATAAAAACATTGATGGTAATGCCTAAAACACACTCCAAGCTTTTTCAGGTGGTAACACTATTGTGCTTGAAATAAGTGTTTTCAGCAGGCAAACTATTATGTCTTCACTTTATCCATTTCACGTGAATCAAAACAGGCAAATGTGGCTTCTTAGAGTGAAAGGTAATGGGTGTTTTGTTTTTGTTCCTCTAAAAAACATGTTGAATCCTTCTGTTTTGTTTAGTTCCAGTTCTGAACCCCAGTTGAGCTTTATCAAATTTGCCTCCCTTTTTGATGACAAGATTGTGAACTCATCTAAAGCCCATCTATGTGCACCTCCCCCAAGCAGGTTGTCAGGGCATCGGCCTGTTCACACAGCAATGGTACTTTTACAAGTCGGCCCCCCAGAAACCCTTAGCGAGTGTGTTTTTAGTGGCTCTTACTGCAAATGGAAGCACTTAACTCCCACAATAAATTACCCACCAGACTGTTGCCACACTGCAGAACCCCAGCGTTTGGAGCTATGGATTTATATTTCATTAGAGTGTATTTAAATCTGCTATGTTGTAATGACTTTGGTTGAAATGAACTGATAAAAGGGCTGGAAATAAATGAGTCAAGTAAAGGTTGTTGCACCAGCCAGCAGGGCTGGATGTCTGATTAAAGCTAAGGATGTGTACCCCAGTCACCTCATTGTTGCCTGACACTGGGGTCATTTTAGGATAAAAATGCACTTTCTTGGTTACTTATTTTCTGTAGTAAGTAAACAGTCATTAGTATGGCAGGCCATTGATCTCACGGACAACACTGGCATTAAGTCTAAGCTATTGTTTATGCTGTGGCAGGGTAATTAAAAGGGACAATCATACAGCCTGTGCTGTTTAAAAGTGGATCCATAACAAAAACAGTAATAACAGCACAACTCCTTGGGGTCAAGGTCTGGACACCACTTAAACATGCAGAAAAGCATAGTTTGTCTTGAATCGCTGTACTTGATGTCAACGTTTGGTAGGAAATAAGGACTTTGTCTAGGTTCCTTGCTAGCTGGGAACCTGTTAAAAAATCCTAATTATCATTCCAGCAAACACATGTATTTGACCACCGAGTGATGTCATCACAGCTGACCAAACAGATTGTTGTTGAAATATTGCCCTGCTGTTATAGGTACGATGTGACGGCGTTGTGTGTTCACCAAGAGCTGCCGCAAGAATAACAAACACAGCTGAATTTGGGGTTTGCGTTTCAGCAGGATGGCAACACATGCAGCGTCTGGGTGGGACAAAGGATAGTAGCCATGGACAGCATGTGTTGGCTCTTTGCCTTAGTGGTAAAACTTGTCAGTATGATTTGGGAGGTTAATGTAAACATCCACCAATTTCTGAGTACACACGTTTGTGAAAACCCCTTGAAACGTCTGTGTCCATTTTTTGTGGCAAAGATTGGCGAAAGAAAAAAAAAATAAATTAAAACCGAAGAAAAAGTATTTTTGTGAAGGTATGTGCTTTGGTAAGCTAAGCAAAAGCAAAAGGTAACAGTTTATTTGAAGGGGGGTGAAAAAGACTGTCATGACACTGTCATAAACATGACATAACACCTGTCATGAACATTAATAAGTCTTCATGAATATTTGTGACTGTTGTCATAAAGCGTAATTCGGTAAATTATAACACTTTTAATACGAAGTTGACATTATTCAAAATGTCTTTGTTATGACAACTTGACATTAACCAAGAAATCATTACTGTTTAAACTTTACCTTTAATAACATAAAGTTACCTCATTTTTAAAGTGCAATCAGTAATACTTTTATAACAAATTTATATCAGTAATGATTTCTTTGCAGATTAACTGGATGGAGCTAAATGCAGAGCAATCCTGGAAGACACCAGCTACATACACCTGCTAGAAGACACATGAAAGTTCACTGTAGATAGGACAATGACATTATTGCTACAGAATGCTTTTTATTAAAGCATATATGTGGAATGGTCCAATCAAAGAGCAGACCTAAATCGTGGCTGAGAATCTCTGGACGCATTCAGGTACTTCCCTTACAATCTGACTGAGATTGACCTATTTTGCAAAGAATAATTATGAAACTTATCAGTTTCCAGATGTGGTTAAACTGGTAGAGATACACTTCAAAGTTGGTAAAGGCAGTAAAGCTATTTCCCAAAACACAACTATAATTTGAGTGAAAAGATGTTGTAAGAAATGATTCACTTGTTTTAGCTGAATGCAAAGACATTTCCCTATTTGTATAACGGATCAAACTCAATCCATTATTTTCTTTCCTACTCACAGATATGAACTACTTTGAGTTGGACTATCACAAAAAAAATATATATATATATATTTAGGTTTGTGGCTGTAGCACAACAACATTTGAAAAAGTTCAAAGAGTACTTTTGCAAGACTTTTTTACATGTTTTGAATGATCTCTCCAAAAAGTGGTTCAAAAGTTATGCTGGGACAATAGACTGCATCTCTAATGAGGGTGTGGACCATCAGCTTCAGGCTGAAATCATTTTCTTTTAATAACTTCCAAAGTGAAGCCGGCAGCTTAATGTCATGGGCTGGAACTTTTGAAGTCAGTGAAACCACAAATCAAGAGAATAATTGTAATCATTTTTGGTTTGGGAGTGGGTTTAAAGGAAAAACAAAGTAAAAGTTCTGGTGTGATCTTGGATCAGAAATCTGTCCTCGAGTTTCAGAGCAACTAAAAACATATTTTTTCAGGTTGTCTTCATATTTTTTTAAAAAGGAAATTAGCAACAAAAGAAAAACATATTTATATATATACAAGGCGTCATGTTCTTGAGCCTATTTCATTTTTTTTCATTCTTACAGCTCTTTTTATATTTTCTCTTTTAGTTACTCTTGTTTCCATAACTGCACAGATTTTTTTGAACAACACCTATTTTGTAAAGGCCCTCTGCAATCCCAAATGGTTTGTTCTTGTAACCTCAGTTGAGCAGCCAGCAACTATGTAATTGGAGAAGATTGAGTACACACAGCAAAACCATAGCCTGGTGAGCTCCTGAGAAACTGAAACAAAGATTACCAGATGTTTACCCTGCCCTTCCATATGTGAAGGGAAAGATGAACTTACCCACCGACTGCAAGAGGCACACTGAATGAGTGACTACTACTGGTAAGAGGAGCTACGATATGGCTTGAGCATGAAACCAGTGCAAAACAATGACGTGTTACGTTGTTTGGTTTTCCTGTAAAAGGAAATCTAGTGTTCCTCAGGATATTACTCAGGAATCCCCTTCGACTGATGGAAACCATGGAGCCGTCCAAAAAAAAAAAAAAAGCGCCATAATTCAGCTGTCTGGTTTCAATTAAAGGATATTAAATATCAAAGACAATCACTCCCATTTTTAAGAGCAATTTTTATGGGTTCCTGGTTTATTTTGATTGGAAATTTGTGGGTGGAGCACATGCTAATAGATATGGAAAACTTGCACCTGTGGTATAGCAATGTTTTGAGTGTCAGATACACTGACTGTTTGCATACTTTTCTTCTGAGAGGGAGCCTGGGTTTATCCAAGGAACAATTCCAGACTGGGCCTGACCTGTGGGATTGTCTGGAATAAAAGTCTGCACAGTATTTGTAAGATTGTAAGCTTTGACTTGCCGTGTGTAATTTATGTCATCAATCATTGTTATTGACTAGCCTTGTCAATAACAAAGCAGCAGATTATTTGGTAAAAATAGTACCCATGCATGGAATTAGAATTTTTTTTTTTTTTTCTTGACGTGAAACATTAAAATCGTGTCAGACATCAGACTTTAAAAATTGAGTTTCACAACAACGACCACACAGCAGTCCAACTTTACAGATATTTTCAGTATCGTATATCCAAAGTAAAACCTATGGAGAGGTTCAAAATATGTCAAATACAATTAAGTAAGATTGATTTTTCCCACATTGTTCACTATCATATAGAGTAAGTGCACCTGCTCCTGGTTATTAGCCAAAACCATCCATCCATCCATCCATCCATCCATCCATCCATCCATCCATTCATTCATTCATTCATTCATTCATTCATTCATTCATTCATTTATTTTCTTTATACCCATGTCCCTTAGTGGGGTCGGGAGGGTTGCTGGTGCCAATCTCCAGCTAACGTTCCGGGCGAGAGGTGGGGTACACCCTGGACAGGTCGCCAGTCTGTCGCAGGGCAACACAGGACAAACAACCATGCACACACACACCTACACACACACACTAAAGTCATTAGCTAAAACTAATGACTTTTATTTTTTTCATGGGTTTAAAACAGGACGGAATAACACAACATCTTTGTGTTATTCCGTCCTGTTTTAAACACATTCTTGTTTGAATATAATCAGTTCAGGCTAAAAAAAACAAGAACTATAAAATCAAGTTTAATCTGTTGGTACTTTAAAATTGCTACTATGAATTGTATTATTGTTTTTTTTTTCTTCATAAATTTATGAATAACTAATGCTAACTTAAAAAAAAAAAAAAAAAAAAAAAAAAAAAAAAAAAATTTTGTTTTTTTTTTTTTATTTAAACAAGAAAAAAAAAAAAAAAACCCCCCTCTCTTTTTT